AAACTTCTTAGTTGGTAATCAAAGAAACAGCCTTGTGTATCCCTATCTATTGTAGAAGCTGAATACATCACAGTTGCATCATGCACTTTACAAGTTGTTTGGATCCAAAGCCAACTTCGAGATTATGGCACAAACATGAAGAGGATTCTAGTTTATTTTTAGTCAAAAAGTTCTATTCGGATTTGGCACAACCCAGTGTATCATTCCAAGACGAAACATATAGCATTGAGGTATCATTTCATAAAGGATCATGTACAAGATGGGAACGTCGAAGTACATTTTGTAAGGTCCTCTAATCAACTTGTTGATATCTTTACGAAATCCTTACCTGAAACAACTTTCAATCGAATTCTACAAGGCTTAGGAATGATAGAAGCAAAATCTGTTCCAAAACCATCTTCGTAATCCGAATGCATCACTTAAGTTCTGAACCAGTCCGAACCCTCTGAGGTACTCATAAGTCAGTGTTCACGCTCTGAATTGGTCTGAGCTCTCACAACGCCTCGGAGTCTACTATTCATCCATGACTCGAATCATCATGTATCCTTTGTATATTATGTATTTTCGGTATTTTATGTTCTATTTTTATTTCCTTTTTAGAAAAATTTCAAAATAAAAAACAATATTTTTGTTTTATGTTTTTATTTCTTTTTCAAGAAAATCCAAAATACAAAAATATTTACTTTCTTGTTTCTGTTTTATCTTTTAAGAAAATCAGAAACTCCAAATGTGTGTGTGTGTGTGTGTGTATATATATATATATATATGTTTATTTTTGTCTTATTTTTAAAATTCGTTTTATCTGACGTATTATTTCATCACCCCCATTTGGAATGATGGGGGCAGGTATATAACTCTGATTCTATGTATTAGCTAAGTGTCCCTAGAAGCATGTTGTTGCATGTTAAGCAAAGCCTTTGAGACTATATATTGCAGCCTTAATGAAACTTTCACTCTAGATATTTCTTCCCAATCAAGCTAATATTCACATAAGTCATTGAGCATCCTTACTCTTGTCGTACTGAGTTCAGAGTTGATTCCTTAGTCAGTCACAATATAATAGAGGTACATTTTTTTTCTTCGAAATAAGCTTATCTTTTCTCCATCAAGTTCACTTTCACATTTGTAACCCATGAGACTCTCAGAAATCCCCACTAAGGTTTATGGTTACACAAATTATGTGTTTATAATCTTTAAATTGTTGTCACCACAATTTGAGTGAAACCCAAAATCTGAATCCTACTTATGTATTGACAGTGAACATTTAATAGTTCTATATTTTTCACCATGTAATTAAGGAAATTCAACCCTCGTGGTTTGTACATTGAAATCTCATTATTTTTATTTTTGCGTGATCTGATTGGCTCTCATACTATGACATTTCTTCACAATAGATCCAGGGTTTTTTAGATATGATTTTGTCTAGCCATTTAAATGTATCGAAAGCATGCTTGTTATTATGGCTACACTGGTCAGACAACTACTGCATCTATACTTTCAGACTTATGTTGAGTTGTCTAGTTTTGTTGAAGCAAAGACACCCATTAAATCCTAATGAAAAAAAGCCTTTAACTATTTCTCAATAAATAGATGATCGTAATTCAACGGAAAGTGATACAAGCACTTCGGAGTCTCTCTTGACTCCGAAGGAAGAGATCATTGCTCGGGATCCATTTGCTTTTGTGTTAATTTTTTATTGACATCATAGAATCCCATATATATTTTGTTTTATTTGTTTATCTTTGGCATACTCTTGCACAAAAATCCTCGTGATTTTCCACAAGTCTGGTTCTAAACTCCAAAAGATTATGTTCACTTATGAGAACAGGTTATGATGAATGGAGTTGAATTACAAATGTGCAAAACAGAAATGGCGACATTTAAGGGATACATTTTCAATTTGGGCACATGAAGTTTTCAAACATTTCTAAAGTCATGCATGTCAGTTACATCGCCTGAGATCACGCCTGTTAGTCACACTTTTTAGGCGCCTTTCTAGGGAAATGGACCGTCTTACAGGTGGCTTTCTCTCTCCAACCACACCTTATTTAAGGAAAAAATGATGATTTTTTACTCACCACTTTCAAAATTTCTCACGCAAATACCCTTTTCTCTATGCACTAATCGTCTTCTTCTCCAACTGCATCCATGGCCGCTTCGTCTAAGACTCACTCTGTTGTTGATCAAACTTATTCCACTGTGATACTCAACATCAAACCTAACCAGAATCTGAGTCTCATAAAACCTCTACCACTTATTCATCTGTCAAAGGAGTTTTCAACTACCAACCACAACCAGAGCGAAGCGTTCATTACTTTTGAGGTTGATTCTCATAAACCTCTATCACCAAATCTAGATTTCCTGCTTCTGCTGATCTTGTCGAGCCTGAAACAATTTCTTCATCAACGATTCTTGAAATGTTCTATAAGATGTGATATCCTGAGAATCTGACTCTGCTGTCCAAGTTCAGAAAGCCAAATCTTCCAATGGTGTGGAATAGACTTTTATGTTATTCCCCACAAGATTTTTTGAAAGTGACACCAGCTCAGACAGTATAAGCAAGCTATTCTGCACACTCATCTACGATCTTTACAAGGGGATTAACCTAGATTATGGGTCTATTCTTTGGGCACATCTGGTTCAGAGCACTCATTCTTCATTGAGGCATTTAATAATCTAAGGTGAAAGATTTTGATCAGTTATTGTAAAAATGGCTATTGATCGTCTTCAGATTCAAGTAAATAAAAATATGTTCTTGCTACAATCCCTGGTTTGCACATCTCCAACTTCATGGTTTCTGATCACACCAAATTTAGCTTTGTTGGTTCAATTCACAAAGCTATAATCTTAAATGTTCCAACTGATAATGCAGTCATCAATGATTATAGAAAGAAGTCTGTGCCTAGTGTTTGTCTTGTACCTGAAGATCCATGAAAGGCACTTGAAGAAGGAGAAAAGCCCAAAAAGGGAGGAAAAATAAAAACGAAGGTTGTCCCCTCCGACAGCTCAAACTCGAAAGAGTAAAGTCAAAAAGGTTTCTCGGAAGCCTAGGTCTCCTTTTCCAATTTTCGAGGAGGATTTGGAGTCTCACACTATTTCCAAAGTTTAGAGAATAGAGCAAGTCCAGCGAAAGACAAAAGATACAACTGTGACTTCGCAACCAATCATCTCGGAACCATCTCCTACTCACTCCAATCCACATGTAACTTTTTTGATGCCTACCTTTGTTCCTTTAATAGAAGATTTCTTTCACGGCCTTACTCTTCCATCTTCTCCAGATCACATTTGTACTCAAACCACTACACCTATCACCATGAGTACACCACCAGTAACTGTCAACATATTTGAAATCGGGGTAGGTGCTTTTGGTGTCACTTTTGGTGTCACTTTTGGTGTCACTTTTGGTGATGATTTCACTCCCAATTCACCCTTACATAACTATGATCCTGATACGGGTTGGTGATGATCAGTATGATTTCCAAGATTTCTACTTCAGTCCATTAAACGTTCAACAACCAAATGATTACAAACATGCTCCTATGATTAAGGGTAAATTCAAATCCCTCAATGAAAAGTTGGATACTCTACTTGAGTCTTCAAAAACTTCTTCAAGCACTAAATACTCCTACGAGACTGTCAAAGCACTAATTGAGACTTTCACCAAGGAGTATGCCAAAAGTCTTGATGCCTCTACCGAAGTTGTGGAAAATTCAATAAATAATATTCGTGATTATCAATCTCGAGAACAAACTCCAAACAGAGAACAAACTACAAAGCACTACTTGCTAATGTCACTCAATTTATGGAGGACTTTTAGATTTCCTATAATAAAAACACGGATGCTGCAAACAAGGTGATTACCAATCTCGAGAACAAACTCCAAACAGAGACAACAGCTTTATCTAAGGTTCGTGCAGAGCTCCAAGTGCAAAATACAAAGATGAGTGCCTCTATCGTTTCAAAAATTGAGAAGCTTCAAGAAGATTTGGCTATGAGAATTCCATCATGGATAAGCTTCTCGTCAAAGATGAAAAGGTGAAAGTTCTTTCAATCCACCTCTCTCATGTCATAAAGGAAATTGATTAGTTAAAATCCGAAAAGGTGGTGTTTAAAACTTGTGTCACCGATGTGAATCTTTTTTTGGGAATTCTTGTCGAAACTTGTGATTCGATGGTCACAGTTTCAAATTGATGACATCTAGCCGATAAACTCAAACCTATGGTCTCTATGCTTAACTGGATCAATGATGTTTTGGAAGCTGGCGCCTTTCCAAAACAAGGGGAGAAGCTAAGAAGCCATCTGCTGATCAACCCAAGAAAACACTGATCAATCCTATATCTTGGATACAAACCACCTCCAAAGTCAAATGATCCAATGTATAATGAAGCGGTGGGATTGAAAGGAAAAAAGGCAGGTTGGTTGATGATGAGGAGGATGAAGAAGAGTTATCTAAAGAAGCTCAAGTCAAAATCAAATCTTGTGACAAAGAGATTGATGAGAATTTACGAATTGCAAAGAAGCTGATGCAGCTGAAAGAGAGGACCATGATGCCCAAGTCACTCAAGAAACCCAAAAGTCTCTTTTCCTTCCCTGATCCATGGACCAGATACTAAATGAAGCCATTGATAATCGGAAAATGTGCTAGTTGGAGCCAGTTGTTTCTTTTGACCTAGATAACATTTTGGAATCTCAACTCAATTTTCCAATCACTCTGAAGGCATTCATGTTTCATTATTTTAAAGGATTGAGACAACTCCTGAGTCGAACAGTTACATTAATCACTCACTTTTCTCTTTTTATCTTAAACATGGAAAGCAACAATATCAAACATGGAGTTTGAAAAAGATTATAGTTGTGAAGGTCTTTGGACCTGATGAGACTGAAAGCTTTATCAATTTTAAATTCAATGTTTTTCGAGGATCTGGGGGTTTAGTCTTTGAATTATCTCTTGATGATTTTTCATTCCTTAACCCTAATGATTGGATTTCCTTGTTTATTCTTTTGTCTAAAGATGAAAAAAATTCAACCTACTGTGGCACATCTGAAAAGGATGTTGATCTCTTACATTCAAGAAGTTAGGAAAATGGATGTGGAGATTATGGCAGTACTCTAAAAGAAACCCATGGTGCAGCCAAAATAAACTCCGAAAGACCTTGACAAGATGAAGTTGGGTCGAATTCTAAAGGATAATTGGAGTATGGTGTTCTAACAACGAGATAAAGCTAGTGTGAATATTCATAGATGTTTTCTCTTGCTTGACAAGCATCTTTATTCCACTTCATGCACGTAATTGGTTTTGGGGTTATCAGAAGCATGTAAAGAAAATTACGTTGCGGATAAAAAGTGCTTCGCAGACATGATAACTGGTATATCAGAGTTCGAAATACCTTGCTTAGATTAATGTTGAAACTTTTCAAGGTTCAGACTCTTCAACATCTGTGAAAAATCTTCTTTCATTATATGACACAAAGGGGGATATTGTTGTGTTATTTTTTGTGTTGTGTAAAATTAATTATGCATGTTTTTAGTCTTTATTTTATCGGATTGGGCATGTCCATCCGTCATTATGGTGCTACGATTAGACTGTAAATATAGTATGCATGTATCATTTTAGGGTTAATGTTTTTGTAGCCCTATGTATCTTTATAGAGAAGTTCTCCTCAAAGTCTTCTAAGATATTGACAATATAGCATTCAGAACTAATTCAATCATTTTCAATCTTTGTTCTTATTGTTTGATTCAACTAAAATGTTTTGAATCTATAGATCATTATTTTATTGTTACAACATAGATTTACATACTTCACACGGTATTGTTAGTTTGTCTTTTTATCACTCCTTGACTATTTAAGGAGAAGTAATTTCCATGGAATAAAACACTTACGTAACATTCTATTTCACATAAATACTAAGTATCTTGCAATTCAAATCATTATCTCGGTCGTTCTAACCATTCTTAAATTTTCTTTAATTTGTTCATTCTCACTCTTACATACTTGAATACTTTGTTGAACTTCTTAATTCAAGTCATGACTGGTTTACCTGACCTGACTCGACTTTGAATATTTGTAGCAAAAATTGATCATAAGTTAATTCAATACTTGAGTTTTTAAAGCTTGTCCGCACACATCTTCTTGCACTCTCAGTATATAAGGTGATTTTTTTTATAAGAAGAGTAATATCAAACCTATAAGAAACCACATTGGTTAGGTATGAGTGTCTTCGAGAAACTCCAACCCATTTCCTTATATCTGAGTGTCTAATAAAAAATCAAGTTTTAGTACCATCCTAGTTTCCAAATCAAAAACATGTATTGTATCAAAAAGCATTGATTTACCTCAACAATGAAGAAGAAATATGGTGGGTCGCGAAGATCACTTTGATTTAAAAGGTTTATCACCTCTAAATTGTGAACCACAAAAAGCATAATCATGTTTCTAAAGATAAATTGTTGTGCCCACCATCAATCCACACGCCAACTAAATACATGTGCATCTTCTCGTGTACTGATTCTCTTTCTCTTCTTTATCTTGTGATTCCTTTCTTTTTCTATTGTGTTTATGACACACACATATAGAATGTGTATATGAGCTCCCTTATGTTCTTCTTTAGAAATTAAGGACCACAACAGAAAATTAAAAGGGATTGTAGTAGCTTTATTTTGAGAGGTTGGATGTGATTTTATCATGAAAAGTGAAAAGTTGGGACTCGCCGGAGGTGGGTTAGAAGAATGAGGAGGCGAAAGATATAGGGGGATGGAGAGGGAGAGGGAGTGAGAGAGAAAGAGAGATAGATAGATAGATAGATAGAGAGAGAGAGAGAGAAGGGTACGATGGATGTGGTGGGTAGGGTATATAGTTTTCTAATTTACTATTATTTTTAAATTAAATTAGTGTTATAGTAGATATAGAAACTATAAAATGGGAGTTAAAAGGGCATAATAGTTTGTTTAGGTTTTTCAAGACCAAAATCACAGAATTTTTTTTTTTTTTTTTTGATTTTGGACCTTCCAAGGAAATTGAAAACCTTTTGGACCCTATCCATATTTTTTCATACCAAAAGAACCAATTTTGAACTTTATTCTTAAAGCAATAAGTCCTTGAATGTTTATGATGATACCAAATGTAGTGAATTATGAGGATTTAATTTGGCATCCGGAACTGTAAGAACACAAAGAACACGATCATTTGGGTGCTAAATGATGTATTCGATAATCAGGAGGGGATTACAAAATTGTACTAGATCTAGTCCACATAATTAACTCACTAAAATCTTTCTCTGAACTACATCTCTAAAGCACGCTCTACAAATGGTATGCACCCACTATATATAGGTACTAACAAGTCTCTTTGTCTCTTTCTCTCTCTCTCTCTCTCTCTCTCTCACCCACACAGTCTCTGGATCTGTCTATCTATCTATCTCTGTCTCTCCCTCTCTCTAATGTTACAAGCCTTCAATCACATATGCAAGTGGTTCTTCTCAAGTCAATCCATATATAACTTTGCACCCTAACATTCTCCCTCTTAAAGTTAGGAATGGATGACCTGACGTCAATCATCCAAAAAGAGCAACTTGACGAACGAAACCTCAAGAGTGACAAATGTGGAAATGAGCATCAAATCTTCAATTCTTCAATGATTTTCTAATCCAGGTTCTAGAGTGTGAGAAATTACAATTCAAGCATAAAAAGGTAAGTTCGAGTAACCAAATATCTATAAATCAATTACCCAAATTTCAGTATAAAAACAAACCCTAAAAATCTTCATTATGTCGAAACCCTTCAAGGTCAAATCGGTCTTCAAATCCACGTAATATGAAAAATCCAAAACTTTAGAAGTCTCATATTCAAATATATCATCCTTTTTATAATTAATAAATGATTAATAAACCGAAAAGGAAATGAGAAAGTGCTCAATTTGGAATTTTCCATAGAAAACTCCCCCTTGACACATGACATAAACATTTTGCATAAATTCAAAAAATCCAAAAAATATTACAATTTTTGTATGTTCCTTCCAAGACCGCATTTGACTTAAAATTCGATGAACTAGGTATAAACTAATAATTTAAAAAATATGCAAGGACCCGTAGCACCAAAACAACTTCAAATGTGAAACTTTAACCGAAATGCAAAACTGGGCGTAAAGTGTCAATTCACATCAACTATAGGCACCAGTTTTGAAATATTTTCCCATTTCTTAGAATTTGATCCCAGTGTTAAAACTGGGTAAAGTCTGTCAAAATTTTGAAACTTCAGGGATTCGATATGAAACTATTCATTATTCTCAAAAAAGTATCCCCATATCGAAAATTGGTAGAATTTGCCAATTCGTTGAAAGTATGAGGACTTAAATCTAAATATTTGTTCTTCCCCAATTTACTTTTCAGATGCGTGACCATAGGATGTCACAAGTCGAATTTGCAATGCACAAGTCGAACTACTCCATTGAACACATAGTTGAAATTGTGTTCCACTCTAAATCGTACGACCCTAAGCGATGTTTGTTCGACCCAAATTTCAATCAACCAACACTCTACACATCGAAATCTTCTCCTTCATATAGATGAATTCAACTCTTAGTCAATTTAGTCAATTCGACCCTAAACAAAACTTGTTCAACTATCAAACCCAAAATGATTTCGAATTTTATTTTCTTCTGTAATTAAATCCCAATACGAATAAAAGGAACGTAAGTCGAATTCGATGTCAAGCTAAAGGCTTTCACCATAAAAATACCAAACAAATGAATTCAAATAGAGTTTATTCAATTCTTCTTCATCATCTTCAACTATTCCTGATTGTTCAACATTTGTTCTTCACAAAAGATTATTAACCGAAATTTTCACGAGATTGATGCAATTTCGAGACCCGATTCACAAACTAAAACATGAAATAGATTCCAATCGATAATGAGAACAATAAATGACATGCATTGAATTCAGATTAGGTAAAAAATAAATGATTGAATATCATGAACAAGAATGAGATCGAAAACTTAAGACAATTGGATTTTAATCTGGAATCAATTTTGGTCAAAAAGATATGTTGATGAATAGTAACCACACGTGATTGGACTATGATTTGAATCAAAAATTGAATTTAGTAGATCATAACCTTGGGCTAAAAATGAGACAAAATCGGTTGGACATTTATATCAACAGTAATGAAAAAAGTGATTGGGCTCGAAATTTCTGAGAGATCATGGAGAGACTCTGTAACACCCGGTACCTGGTACGCAGTTTAATTATAAAATGCTACACTTTTTTCCTAGGACTCAGCGAGTTGGACACCTCAACTCGTCGAGTAGAGGTTAAAATTGGACGTGGGAAGGAGAACCTACTCGCCTAGTCGGATGCATTGACTTGATGAGTAGGCATGTCTGGATGAAACCCTAATATCTATGGTTTACACCCATTTAGACACCTTATCTTATCCCAACCCAGCCTCCATCATCCCTCTCAGTCCAGAGAAGCCCAACTCGAAACCCTAATGTATTTGGAGTGTTCTTGAGACATTTTTGTGTCTTTTTGGTTGTCTTAAGCTTGAAGAAGTAAGTAGAAACTTGGGGGTTCTAGAAAAACCAGTTAGATCTAGAGGTCTTGCTTCATTTTTA